TTTGAATATTGAGCATGTTGAGTTTTAATGTTCCATGTCATGAGGTAGTGAACCACAACTGGGGAATATGTTTGATTTATTAATCTGAGCAGTGATCATTATGAATGATTTCTCAGTTATAGCTCATGTGAACCACAACTGGGGAATATGTTTGATTTATTAATCTGAGCAGTGATCATTATGAATGATTTCTCAGTTATAGCTCATGTGCGCCACACTTTGCAGCTACAGTGTTTACCAGCCATGCTGCAGTAACCAAAATCGAAAGTAGTCTGTCATCGAAGTGCAAAACATCTAGTGTCTTCAATGTCTGTGTTTCACAATTTTATTTGCCGCATGCTCTTTATGTAGATTTTGAGAATTGATTATAGACCGTCAGAAGGACAAATTGTTCATGACCGGTGCATTTATTAATTTTTTGTGCTTTAATTTAAACAATAAGCCATAAAATACATACGAGTGACCCGGAACTGAGACGATTCGTAATTGACCACTTCACTGTACGTAGTTATTCAAGCTATGTATAGCTATATATCAGCTGTGTCAGTTATGAAGGAAATGTTTACATGATTGAAAAGTATAAGAATAATCGTGGAAGCGAAAACCTGTTATAGGCGACTTCACTGTACGTGGGTAATTCATGCTAAATATAGTGATTGTACTGGAGCTGTTGAGAAGTAAATGTTCCATGGTTGAAAAGTACCGAGAATAATTTTGTTTTGTATGTTGTTTAACGTCCCTCTCGAGAATTTTTCACTCATATGGAGACGCCACCACTTGCCGGTGGAGAGCTGCAAATTTTGACCTATACTCGGCACTTACGGCCATCGAGCAGTGAGGGATCTTTTTCGTGCCAGCACCTACAGTACTGCGACACGGGACCTCGGTTTATGCGGTCTCATCCGAAGGACCGGTCTCCACCTCCCACAGTGGGATTCGAACCCGCGACGTTAGGATCAACTCCTTACACCGCGACTCTAGAGCAGACGCTCTAACCACTCGTGGAAACGTAAATTCATTTCAATGGTTTTCTATCGTTGAAAAGTTATTTGTTTACATGATTGAAATAATTCGATCCGTTATATATACCTAGCCAAATACATACACTCTAAAACTTTTGTTTTAAAATTTTCTAGCCCTTCCCTCCATTCTTCGAGAGGAAGAAGAATTCCGAACCCGATTGCAAAAACTCACTATTTAATACACTTGGAAAGTAGCAAAATACTGCATGTTATATTTTATTTTCCCTCATTTAATTTAATATATATGATTGAAATACGAGAAGATAACAAAATAGATGAATAAATTACTTATGTAGATCTACATGTGTATATATAAAGGCAACATTCGACATCGATCCCAGTGAAAATTACGTCACTTCCGTTAGGCATAGAATGATTGACTAACCCACTAACCTACACACAGGAACGCCTGACTGTATCCCTCTTACTCTTAGCCCGTTTCTAGGGGATAATAAAGACTTATTTTATTAAAATACACTGTAAATATACATTTATCGTATTAAATAGTAGTTCTTAATTTGAGTACAACAAAGAAAATATTATAACGTTATAACCGTCTTCCTTGGAAGACGGTATACAGAGTTGAAGTATTTACCTACATACATGTACAAAAGGAGTCAATTACGTATTGTCTCAGTCCATCCTTTCGTATGTATTTAATACTTTATTGTTTAAATTGAAGCACAGAAAAATTAATAAACACACTGGTCAATAATAGATTTTTCTGTCTGTAATCAGTAACAGAAAATCAACGTTTAATGTTTTTGTTCACTGCAGCAAGGCTGATATAGTAAAATTTTGAAAATCAGCATTTACGTTTTTTTTGTCCACTGCAGCAGGGCAAAATTTGTAGCTGCAAAGTATGGAACATGCTTTCAGTTATAACTCTGAAATCATTCATAATGATCACTGCACAAATAAATGTACACTGATTAATAAATCAAACTGTAGCAGCAGTCCACATACATCATGGCATGGAACATATTAAAACTTAACATGCTCAGTAATCAAAACTAGTGTCAACTTTTTATTTTACATACAATTCAGTATTGAATGAAGTATTCTCCAAGGAAAATATAAAAAGTAAAATTGTGTTTCCCTTGAGAAAAATAACTATCTCCTCACAACAAAGTTGGAAAGGGTATAGTAACGCTCGTGTGTGTGTGGTGGTGGTGGTGGTGGTGTGTGTGTGTGGGGGGGGGGGGGGTGCGTAATAAAGGTTAAGCAAGTCAGTAGTACATATGTAATTCATATCAGGACCGATATGCTCTTTTGCGATGGAATATTCCGCTTTGCGTAGCCCTTGTTTTTTTATTACATACGAAAAGATATAACCGTAAAAAATTTATCTTCACCAATATCCAGTGGTTTGAAAAATTGTTAAAGTATGGTACGACTTAATAAAATGCTGCTACAAAAATACAAAGCCAAGAGCTCTCAAGAATAATGCGGCCTGATTTGTGTATATCAGTTAAATGTTTAAGATTGTTGCTAAAGACGGAAAATCTTTTGAAAAAAGGCTATACATGTTTAAATTCACAATCCCTCAACAGCTTTGATAGCGTAGTAATACGAAAGTGAAAGTAACGCCGGGATTCGACTCCCAAGGAATGGGACACTTTTTCTTAATTTGAAATTATAACTTTATAAATTTTCCTAAGTTCTTGTTCCGGTAGAGGCACGGGAAGTTGAATAAACAGCTACTGGGAAAGGGGGGGGGATAATTATTCATATACTAATTAACTTCAGATATTGATACTACAGAATTGCCTGTGATATGCTTTAATTAATTCATCATTTTCCTACCATACCAACATTTTCATAGAATTAATGTTAATTTTTTTAACGCACTAACCACTTCGTATAGAAATTAATTAAGTTCCACTCAGTATTGAGAGGACTTTCTGAACTGGTTTATATAAGGGAAATACTTTCAGCACAACAAAAAACAAAAGATGATTTCGAGGAAACTGGGAATGACCAAAATAGAGTTTCCAAACACTACAAGAGAGAGCATCCTTAATTAGAATAACGCGGAAGAATTGATGTAAAAATACTTCTTGGAATAGAACAATATTTCCTTATCCATCCCCTGGTATCAGACAGTTGCCTCTGCTGAATTGTCTATATTTATCTTTGATGTAGGATTTGAGTAACCTCTCAGTCATTTCCATGTTTTAATCCACACGAACCAGAGATTAAAGAGATATTTTCTAAATTGCCAAGTATATACGTACATGTCTTTATCTGGTTAGAAATTCTTGCTATATTTAAAAAAAATGAATTTCCTTGGCAGAAGCCAATAAATACAGAATGTTGGATTTACTGCTACCCAGAAAGCCATGATATCAAGGTCAACAAAGTTCTCCAGATGGTAATATGACCAAGAAAGTCTTGTGAAAATTATATGAAAGAATCAAATCCTTCAAAATCTACACCTCGAATAGCTGCGAACTCATATAAATTGTCAAAGTAACATGCAAACATCCCAGTGTAATGCAATTTTAAATTTCTTTAAACCAGTCACATCGGACCAATGGTTCGGCCACTAAGCAGTTCGACATGAGAATCTTCTCAATAACAGGAGGTCCATAATTTGTCAATATTCAACATGTCAGCATGGATCCTCATAAGGTTTTATGAGATCTGACAAAGCTTTCATGGTTAGGATTTTTTTTAATTAAATAAAGAACTAGAATAGAGATTACTGTACAATTTTACGAATATTTCATCTGTGCGTAACAATTTTATTAGACCAACTCTACTCTTTCTATCTCTTTCTGTAAGAGTATAATTTGTCACGAATTATCGTCCTATAAACAAGTCACGTGTTTTTTTTTTGTTTTTTTTTTTGTTTGTTTGTTGTGTTCTTTTTTTTTTTTTTACTTTTCTTTCCATGACACAGAGGCAAGGCCTTAGAAATCGGGATGAGGGATTTGCCATATATAGTATACTGTAGGAAACAAAACTAGCTACTTTATGGATATTATCCTTCAATAATTAAGTCTGATGACTTTTTGGGCTTTTCAAGGAATTTTGGCTTGGTCGTGCCCACCCAAACTGAAAATGTGTGGTTGTATCCCCCCCCCCCAAAAAAAAAACAACAAAAAACTGAAATTACTTCCTACGGGTCTGATAGGTAGAGAGTTTGTAAAAGGAACCCCAAACAGGTTCATTTGGTCAGACAAGATCAAACTTCGTCCCTGTTTAACTGGACCAGACGTGGGGGATTCGTGTTTCACAATTACGCTTTGTCTTTGTTACTTGTCCATTTCCCCTTCTTATGCGTTTGTATGTGTAGAGGGTGTGGAACGGGGTTTGGGAGATAAGTCTCAAAGCACTCTCTGTATACATCTATCCATGCCTGCAGAAACTGGTGTAAATTCTGATGCATGTATTTATATGTTATGTCTACGTAAACTGACAACAGGGTTGGGTAATTGTACTAAGTGCCTTAGTCATGCGAAGCTGATCCTGGACAAAAGCACGAATCAACTAATTATAAATACTGCATTAAAATGTTTTACTAACTAGTTATAGAAGGCAGAAAGGCAGACTGCTTGTACCAAATACAGCCATTTTAACCTTTTTGGTGGGAAAACACTTCCGCAAGCAATCATTTCCTTTTCAATACCAAATGCACAACAGTTTAATCTCGCAAATAAAAGTTTGCTTGCATTCTCCTATATAACACTTCATATCACTTGGAAAACTTTTGTCCCAGAGGCCTAGTGACGTCATCAAAGGCGGGAAATGTAGCCAGAATAGTGCTTATCTTGTTTATTCATAAGTGAAACTAAGTTTTGTAAAATTTGTCACACAAGTAAGAAAGTGTTTGGTACTTGAAAAGTATTTATCTCAATAAGTTACGCTCTCATCCGGCCTCTCGAACCTCGTTTCCTGCCCTGTATGTTTCGTCGTGATAAGTATCCAACTTCCTGTTTCTGAAATATACACTTGTCGCCGCAGAAATATGACAAGCCTCTAGCCTCGTTTTAAATTCATAACAACACTGCATTATGTATATGAGTTATCACTTTAAGGGTTGAGTTTTTTCAAATTGCTTCCTTCTGGTGTTCAATACTTTTTATGTCTCGAAAATGGTAAGTACTCTCTACTTTCTGCATCTTACAATTGTACCGCTACTATTCGGATGCTAAGTATAATTATAACGTAACACTACTTCATGCAATGTTTCACCGACATGAACAATTTCCTATGAGCGGGGAAATGGAAATTAAAGAGGAAAGAATCTTTAGGAAATAGGGGAGTACTACATCTCCGTTTAGAACGGACGATAAGGATATCCTATATTACAGACAGGTATTCCGGTCATATGAAATGAGCTATTTCATTACATAGTTCAAGTTCATTTTTCAACAATCAAGCATTAAATGCAGTTGGTGAAATTTGATTTTTTTTAAACAGGAAAATCGTCGAGAAGATACCGAAACCGCACTGGTTCCTCCTCGCCCTCGTTCTGTCGAGCAAAGCAGGGCGAGTCCAGCGACCATTTTAGACTCTCATCATTGTTCCTCTGTACCAGCCTATCTCCCCAACACAGAGAAAGGTGAACAAAGAGAAACTACAGAATCATGTCAACAACCCCAAACCTCAGACATACCACCTCTTATCCCAGAAAAACGCAGTTCGCCTGCCAACACAATACAGGACATTGCCACCTCCCAGCCACATCAGGACGTACACCAGACAGAGGGATTTCCTCAGCGTCCCCAAATCCCACCCTTAATACCAACAGAAACGCTGCTTCGGAATGAAAACCAAACTCCCTTGGCAGATTCTACAACGACTCCATCTTCAAATCAAGATGGGAGCCCTGCTAGTGTTATTGATATCAAAGAAAGTGGGGAGAACCAGCAAACTAGCTCCAATCTTTTAAGTGGAGGTATAGACAGCTTAGTGACACAGACCGTGCCAATCCCAATCCCGAGCACTATTGGGAACATAACCACCGCAGGCCCAGAAAATGGACCTCTAGAGGAGTATGCTAGTCGTTCCATTAAAAGTGAACCGGGGGTAGTATCAGAACCATCTTGTTCAATTTGGGGGACATCTAACTATCAGACATCTAGTATAGATTCGACAGAATTGGCCAACATGCAGCAGTATCTTCAGTACCCGGGTTACACCAATAGGTATGACACCTCAAACCAACAGAATTTTGACAGCGCTGGTAGATGTTCTAGTCATGCAAATAGTGTAACAGTTGAGGACCCAATGTTACCCCGTGATGTGAGTGCTGATATGGATGACATTAACAACCCTTTCTATACAACTTACCCCAACATGTTTCTCAATCAACAGCAAGCTTATTCTGCAGCGGTGCCGTACGGAGACACCTCACAAAAACCAATACAGACCTCACAAACATTACCGCCTTCTTACTTTGAAAATGTAAAGAAAGCTTGTGATGTCACCTCAAAGAATGTAAATGAAGCCCATGTAACCTCATGTAGACCCAAACTTGAACACGATACAGATGGAATTCAACCCAAAAAAGTCATAGTTCCGGCAGGTAAGAAGTTAATTAAAAATATAAATATATATCAATCTAGAATGTCCCATAATATATGTATTTCAAATATATTAGCATGAGATTATTATCTAATATTTTATTTTCCTTCAGATCTGAAAGCATGATAAGATGATGCTGACTCTTGAAGGCATGCGCTTTAAAATAAATCTTTGTTTAATTGTATCCGGGTCCTAGAACTGCATGCTCTTTGTTGACCTGGAGTTACTGAGTATCCAGCATATACTTATGTGAGTGATGTATTATAATGAGTAAGTAGATTGTCATGATGCAATAAATCCCTGCCTTAATAAAATTTATGTGTTTAAAACAAATTCTTTGAAAAAAAAATGATTTGATTTTTGTTTTAAAATTGACTTTCAGAGTTCTTTTTTTAATTTTAATTTAAATATTTTTTAACTGATTTATATTTATATATATATATATATATATATATATATATATATATATATATATATATATATATATATATATATATATATATATATATATATATATATATATATTTGTTTAGAATTTTACAATTAATGTTGTGAAATATTCCCAATTTATCAGGAGGCCACTATTTTTTCTGTTCTGGTATGATCAGAAAATTTATTACGAAATTAGTTTCAATAAAGATACTTGTATTTCTACATAATGTGACTGCATGTTTACTATAGTGAATAATCAGGTTGAGTGAAATTATGTAGTAAGATGAACAATTAAGCAGGATCTACGATGTATCTATTTTTATTAACGTATGTAACATTCCATATTTATCGAATATCTGTGATCTGATTATACGTTGTACATGAATTTCATATTTGAAAATCTTTAATTGTAAAGTAAATCCATCCCATGATAAAATTCGTGATTGACTTTATTTAGAATTTCTCTCTCTCTCTTTTTTTTTCTCTCTCTCTCCGCTTATCCCGTTATTTTGATCAATTGGAGTACACATAGTTAATAATGTTATCGTAATGCGATTAAAATATATACCACAGTATACACTGCGCCTCTAATCTCATAGTTTTGTATCTGAGTACATCAACTCATCTAAACCCAGTAAAACTGAATACAAAGTAAAGAGTATGTGTCCGTGTCCTACATTTTATATACATGTATATATTTACATGAATTATTCAATACAAAGTTGGTCCACGTATTTATTTACTTTTCTGATATTAAAGAAATACCTTGTAATTTCAAAATTAGCATATATTGCAAAGTGATTAAAATTCTGCTCATCTTCATTGAAATTTAGTCTTTATTTTAAAGTGGATAGAAAATAAAAGTATGAATAATACTGACTGGCTAACATGTATTGGATGTGAAACACAACGCGGAAGGAATTGATCGCGGGTATCTGGAAATGGGCGAAAATGACGCTTTTCCTGTTCTGAACAGGAAACAAGGGGTTTTTTTTGTCCTTTGAAAATTGCGCCGATTTGATCTGATGTTCTTAAAAACCAACATGTATATATGATTATAAGCGATTGCTTACTCAGTATTCATTTACTATTCACTATTCATGTGCTTACAAGAAACTATTGATGTTAATTTCAGTTCGGAACATATCGTGATTTTATGACAAGTTTTGTTTACTTGAATCCCTCGGTGTTTATTTCTCGTTATAGTCTTAGACACGAAGGCAGGTGCCAAATTGCGCGCCATGAATTACAATACAGAAGTCGCGTGTCACTGCAAACACCAAAGGTGACGAGACTCTCCACGAGAAGTCCTTGTCCATGTGCGATTTGATTAGCTCTAATACACCTATTTTACTTGTTCACAGTTTTTATTTTCCTTTTTGAGTATGAAAATTACCGTTTTAGGGGTGTCCTACTCAGCGATTTAATGAACGGCTTGTGCCACACGTGGACTGTCAGACACTCAATCGAACGAGGATAAAAATAACACCCATTTATATTCATTTTCATTTTTTTATAACAATACTTTGCTTTCACAATTTAGGAGAAAATGAATTCATAAAGCACTTAGTAATTCAACAATATCAACTGAATTAAATGCGAGGAATTCAAACAAAAGAAGAATCGGTACGTTCACGCGGCCTGTTTTGAGCGGTTTTCTCTTTCGTTGAACTTTTTCCCTTAAAATATTATCAAAAGTTAAGATATGTTATTAAGTATGTCTTGCTTAATCTTTGTTTTTAAAGAAACATAAAAACATATGCACTGTAAGAAAGAGCACAAAAAAAAATGAAAATTAAAAAAAAAAAAAAAAGAACACGATACCAATAACATAACCCATTGTATTCATGTATAAAATTGTGATAGAACAACGGAATACGATTTAAGTAATGATTGGAAATAACAGCTTATTTTTCTTCTTTGTTTAATCTAAGTAAATCTACAATTACTTTTGAATTGATTAATGATTTTATTTGGGTTGGATAAATATCTTATGGAAGACAATTTTAACGTCAAGATGTCCATAAATGTATTTTATTATAACAAGAGATCTTTTCCTTGTTGACTTTATCAAATATTGCTCGAAAACACGACGTGGGCGCTTAGTAAGACATAGAGATAAAATCATTAAAATGACATAGTTATTTTATAAAACAAATGGAATTTTGATAATATGATTATTTTACTTTACATAGATCCCCAGACGTGGACTGAAGGGGACGTGCATCAATGGCTTGAATGGGCCCGTAATGAATACAAACTAAGAGACCTAGACGTGATCCGCTACCAACAGATAGACGGGAGACACCTCTGTAACATGAGCAAGGACCAGTTCACCCACCTCTTCGGTCCCCTTAACGCTGAAAGTCTTTACTCACATCTTAACTTTCTCAGACATGGTAATCCTTCAAATTTACACAATTTAATTTAATATCAATCACACGGAGCCAGAAATTATTTTATTTTTCATCAACAAGCGCCTACTTTTAATTACCACATTTGCCAAGTGAAAACCAACACGTATGAAATCTATTTGAAATAAATACGAAAGGTTACAGAGTGCATATAAAACCAGAAAGATGGTTTGTATTATGATTTCTTGTTTCCAGGTCCAGCACAGGTGACGTCCCCTACTTGTCCTTCTGTGTCCTCCTATGTTCACGGGTCGGGAGGATCAATCAAGCAAAACGCAGGTCAGTGATTTATCAGAGATCACGCGTATTCTTTGACAGAAGTATACAAACTTAGTAGTTTAAAGAAGTGTTCTTTATATACTTGTCTATTTTTTGACCCTTGACTAATACCTCTTGTACCAGTGATCTGGTTTAGAGAGAATAAAGAATTGAATTGAAAGAATGAGTGTATATTTGTATGTGACAACGAATTGTTCTTTCATTTGTTTTTATCTATTGAAACCTGACAGAAGACGTGTTACAGATTTTTATTTAATACTGGATGGTTTTATATTTCCATGTATCACACTTTCATGGTTTTAATTTCAATGCTACAAGAAAAATGTTGTGAAAAAGAACCAGATTCAATGACAAAGAAAATGCTTCTGAGGGATGACAAAATTTAGACAGATTTTTTTTTTACAACTAGCCGCGGAATATGATTGAATATTTCAAATTTAGTTTTTTTTATTCTTCTTTCCTCCTCTAAATATTGAGGTCCGTGTAATTTGCCTGCTCCAAACTTGTATTTCATTGGACTTTCGAGATTGAATACTGTTCGTTATCTTCATATTTCATTCTTTCAAGAATTACAATTCTTGTATGTAATTGTATATAATTATTATAACATTTTAAAGAAGTTTTAGTGAGCGATAAAATGAATCAACACGCATTCTACCTAAACTACAATGGCCACTTCAGTGGTGTTAACATGAAAGATCATACATCAAGGAGTATTTCTCAAGTCCTCAAGTGTTGGCTAAGCAAATAGAAAGAAACTCAGATCAAAGAAAAAGTAGCAGGTTATGCTCTTTTGATTTACTGAGTAAATTTATTGTTGGAGTTTGGGGATGTTTGAGAGTTTGCATTTCGGCTGATCCTTAACAATCGGATTATCACCTCTGCATCTGCGAGATCACCCGATAGGGTGCGCAATAGTGAACATTACTAAATCAATGTTAAACAACTGTATATAGGGCTAAGAATAAAAGTTTGTACCTCTTTTCTCTCTTTATTTGTTGTCTTTTTCAGTTCGGTGAAGCTATGTTTGTTTATTTCTATCCAGACTTTATTGACTTTCCCAAATTTCTTGGTTTGTTACCAAATTTGGCAGGTTGTTGCACTTAAGGATCAGCTAATGTTGTTAAATTTACTTTTATGAACTGGTTAATTTGTGTACAATGGGATCCTAACACTACCGATAGGATTCAATCGTTCTCGTCTGCCGAGGGTCTTTGAAGTTTCCCGTTCCAACACAACACAGGAAGTAATCAGAACGACACTTTTTCTTCTGTCGGAATTTTTCTTCTATGGCAAACAACAAAAGTTTGCACTAGGAAACTATGAATAAAACTCCATTTTCGCATACCGGCATTCAAGATTTAAGATACAGAACACATTCTTAACTCTTTATTTGACTTCAGATTTTGGATAAAAAGAAAAGTTAACATTTGCAATCGTAAACAGCAGCGAAAAAAAGTTAGTGACCGATTATTTTTTAAGGAAGGGCAAAAAAGTAATTAATAATTTTAAGCACATTTAACTTTTGCTTTAGATAATAGTTTCCATTTAATATTTGAAGGGGGATTCTTTGTCTAAAATAACCAATCACCGACACAGTTGTGTAGAATTTCTTTCATCACATTCCTTTCAGTAAAATGTTTGTCTTTTTGATTGCAAATCTTTCCCCCCTTCATCCTTCGTAAAGAGATCACATCTAATTAACACAACTAATAGCTGATCTATGCAAGCGACACAGTCCCAAATTCGATCAACTTTTCAAATGGTTCTTTTTGTCAATTTTATTACATCTCTAATTTCAAAATATTAACTTTTTGCATACAGCAAAATCCATTTGATATTGGTATTTTAATTGTGGTCGCTGTGTTAAATACATTGATTGGCTGACAATAAATTCTCATTCTTTCTTTTGTTTTTGAGACAAACATATGGGAAATCGTTTTTCCCTTTATACCTCCACTCATTTTGTTCATTTGTAAAATGAGATAAAAGTGAATCTGTGATGGAAATATTCGGAAAATTGACACTGCTTTAAACAAATATTCTGAATCCGATTAACAGTGCAAAGCTTTTAATAACCAGCAAATCAAAATACATAATGAAGCAAGCTGGTATACTTTTGAAAAAAAAAATTCCGAGTTACCAAAAAGGGAAATTAATCAACTCATGAAAAAATAAATTTTCAAAAGTCTAGTTCTGAAATAGAACGATACAGAGAGTGGTATTAAAAAATTATTGTTTGGAATAAACGATATATAAGAATTCATATTTCAGAAATAGACATTTGGAAGAAATAAGGCCAAAATTTGACGTCAATCTTAACATATGTTGATTTTATTTATTTAGATAAATTTATTTTTGAATTTTATTTGATTTTTTAAAATTAAAATCTATCTTTTGGATGTATATAAACATTCAGATAAACAATGCATTAATAAGTCAAAGATGAATTAAAATAATCGGAGGGGCCTCTCTCCGCACATCTCCGTCCTCTGATTGGCTAGGACTTGAAAACACTCAAATCCATAACAATTCCTCCACATTCAAATGGTTAGCACCTTTTCTAATAAAACGATATGACGCCCCTTCACTTATCGATTTGCTACTGCGCGAAAATAGGAATATGTCTTTACTAACTTTTCAATGTCAACAATTTAGCGGCAGAACATGTAGTTATTTAGAATCAACTAATGAAAGGTGTCTGTGCTAATGTGTGAAAACTACCCCTTCTCGTGATGTTATAAAATGTCAGTGAAGACAGTGTAAAACTATAGTGATTAACTTTTTCTATTTTAAACAATTTCTAAGTGTTTGAAAAAGAGAAAAAAGTAACATTAAATATTGATGACTGGTCAGTTAAGATTTTCCACTTCCATGCTGGACGAGAGCTTTTATAAATTGTCTCTCCGTCATAAATTCAAATATATGGACTACATTCATCCGTGTGCTTTTGGCGGATTCTCGCCTTTCATGTTCCCAGGTAGGTATTGGCTTTTGAGAGGGTCCGGAGAGAAGACTTTCAAATAAACTTTTTGTATAATTCCACGACAGCTTAGTGTATTGTATGACCACTAATTAATGCTTTTTGTGATGTTGTTCGTAAAAACATTCTAAGAAAAAAAAAATGAAATATAAAAAAAGTACACAGAGTGTGCTTTAAAAAGTTTTAATATTATTTTCAGATCCAGGATTCACAAAATCGGCTTGGTCTCCGCAGCCCAGCCAAAACTCACAGGGTATGTCTTCGTATTTTGTTGTCAAACAGTTTTAAAGACTGCCAGAATAAAAAGTTTGTATACAATCAGCCAGGGTATCCCAGGGACCAAATTCACATCCTCCTATTTTCGAAATAAAATATTTGTGACACTTTAATCAAGAGTTTTTCTGGGACTGCCCCCACCCCCACCTTTACTGCATTTCAAGTTGGCGCTTTCTATTTGAACGTCTGTTTTGAAAGTTTTTTTTCTGATTTACTGCATATGCTTAGTTGCATCTGTATTTAGAGTTATTTTGAAAGAGGGCATATGATAAACTTGACTAAATAAAAAAATATACTTAAATTTTTATGTGTGAGATATCCTTTCAGTTTTATGTCATTTTCTAAAGGGTTTCCTGGTGTGAAAAATGTGCATTTAAGGCTCATTAGAAACTTACACTAAGCGGGAATAAACGGAAATTGACCATATCATTAAGTCTTTTCTTAAAGGAGCGCTATGAATGAACCAGATATTGATTATTCCAGGGTTGAAACATGTTATAATAATTCAAAAATCCATCTGCAAATTTTGAATGAAAAGTTTAAGGCAGCGAAATGGGTTTATTGACAAACGTTTGTTTCCCTGAGACAGAAACCATCTACCCTTGAAATTTGAAAGTGTCCAATTGTTCGTTATACTATTATAATCTGAGGACGATGGTGAAGCGATATTCAGATGTCTTTGTGACACTGGTCATAACTCTGAAATCTTTAGTAAAGTACCAGTTGTGTAGTTTTAATTCAGACTCATTCCCAAAAGGGAGGCCTGATTTTGTTAGAATACAATTATTTTCTCTTGCCTTAAGTCTCAGAAGAACATAGGTCTCTAAACTAATCGAGTTTCAGAGTAATGCAAACTACGAAAACGACCCTTTTATACTTGTCCAAGAACGGAAATCATTTTATCCCCTTGGGTGGCTAAACTTTTCACAAAGAATTGCAAAAGGCATGGAGCACGTGATTATATTAGCTTATGATTATTCTGATGTAAAAATATCTTTTTCCCCCCAGAAATAATAAGTCAGCAACATTCCCTCGGGGAAAAAAGAACGAGTTTTAAACTCATTTACCCTTGTCAACCTCTTTTTTCTCGTATAATTATTCAGTTTTTCTTAATTTGAAAACTAAGACCTTTAAATGTTATATTTTATTTACTTTGACAGACCCGTACACCTTACTGGGACCCTTGGTGGGGCGGTTATCCAGCACAGGTAAGTTAGCATATACATGTAGTAAACCTTTGCCCGGTGAACTGTCTATGTGTTTTTCAACTTTTAAACCCTTGTGAGAAAGTTTTCACGGTTAATGATTATTTACTAATCATCTTTGTCTTGACCTCAGATGTTAGACGTGTGTAGGCAGCTACGCCTCTTATTCAAATGGCACGAGGTCATGTAACACCTTATAAGGTCGTGTTAATACCGAGAAATATCAGTGTAATAAATTTATTAGTTCTTTACACTTCTAAATTCCATGATCCAAATATGGAATTTATTCGTTAATGTCAACCTTTGTCTGATGTCTGTAATTTAGTGTGCCTGTCAAATGCTACATTATTAATATAACTTCTTTTCAAGAACCACAATACAAAATTTAGTCTTTTGAATAAAGGGGATTCATTGTTTTTGTGTGGAAGGTGGGGGGGGGGGGGGGAGGGGGCTGAGACAGAAAGGTTACTTGTTGCGATCTGAGTCTATTCATCAAAGACAGTTGTGTGACACACGTGTTATACATTTTTTTGGGTTCATTTTAGACCTCTTTTTCCAGTTACTGGTCCAGTTTTAATCAAACGTAAATTTAAGCAATCTTAGATAATGAAAGTTCTTTCAGGTTTTATTAGTTTTAAATGAAGTCACAAAGAGGGATTCAAGAAAAAAAATTAGTCAGGAAATTAGGATATATGGTTTAGAATCTCCTACCCCATTTGCTCAGAGGGTCTACAATGGAGGGCATTATTTATAGTTATGAAGAATCTCTCAAGAATTCTGGGGGATAAGCATCTAAATTCACAAAGACTCTTAGCTTAAAGTTGGACAGAATCACAGTGACGAGCCGATACAAGATACAAACACACTAGTGCAGGGTCAGCTTATTGTAAGACATGTGGGCAATGTGGGCATCATCATGAAATATTACCATTGTATAATGATGTTACCTCTACCCAGTAAATTAAAAAAAAAACATGATTATTGATGAAGATAATAAAAGAATTAGCGAAAATATACGTAGGGATGTTCCTTGTAAAAATCAGTTTCCCATCATTAATATCAGGGAAATTTAAATATACAATGGCAGTGTTTAAGAAATGAATTCAAGTGTAATATCGTGATAACTGAATTGCCAATGATTTCATCGATATGGATGTATAATAAATTAAGGAATTTACAATAATTTGTTGCAGGAAGTGGGCAGATTCAGTTGTGGCAGTTTCTGTTAGAACTGTTGTCTGATAGAAGAAATGGTTCTTGTATTGCATGGGAAGGCAGCAATGGCGAATTCAAGTTAGTGGACCCAGATGAAGTGGCGCGTCGGTGGGGAGAGCGAAAGTCGAAACCGAATATGAACTATGACAAACTAAGCAGGGCACTCAGGTATTACTACGACAAAAATATAATGACGAAAGTGCACGGAAAACGATACGCTTACAAATTTGACTTCGTCGGCCTTACTCAAGCGATGCAACCTTCAACTCCAGAGACGAACGCTTACCGATATCAACACGAGATGTTCAGCATGTCAGGATATCCCCCTCCCAGACTCAATTACTTATCTCCGCATGCACCCATTCCAACGACTACGGCAGGATTTCTGTCCCCTACAGCTACATATTGGTCAACGTCAACCAATAACATTTTCCCGAACACTTTGAACCACGTGATGCCAGGACATCCGGGCACTTTGCCTTCCCACATGAGCACATTTTACTCATGATTACATCATTTTGCTTTCATCAATTTGTAATTATAGCGATGTAAACAAGGATTTATTTTGTCTATTTTTGTTGGTCAAAGATCATCAATGTTTTTTTCCTTATATTTGTTAACTAAGCTCATTTTTGTCACTTTATTGTCTTACACAAGAAAACTGTATTTCAGTTGCCTAAATTTTACCAGACCGAGTGTTTGGCAATTAGTCACTTAATTGTTACCGGTACCCCCCTTTGATACATGAATACGTTAGTGTTCTCTGTATATAGGAAAACGGGAGTAGTTAACCGCACATTTAAATTAAATTAGTATTTGTATCCCCCCCCTCCCCAAAAAAAAATACATAACAGCTGGACCAAATATATATTGACGTGGTTACCTTTTCATTAGATTGTATTGCATTCTGGTGTAGTTGAGGTTTAAGTGACGCTACAGTAGGTATGTTTAGAATGACATGACATACATGTACGTCATTGACCAGTAAAAACAAACCTTTCCGAATCACTCCAACTCAGATAGGCATACTTTGTCCCTCATTACCCTGCAACCCCTGTAAACCATTCTTCCCGTCCCCTAGCGAATCAACAACTACTACATTTGTTCCCCGCACCCTCTGATCTGAAACAATGCACACCCTTTCTCTCCACCCTCTGAAACAAGCCATTCTGCCCCACTTCTGTGAAAACAAAGCCTTTTGCCCTTGATGAAAAAATATCCTCTAACCAGTCCAAGAGAACAAACTTTTTTACATAGAGTGTGATCAACTTTAGTTTTAAAAAAAAAAATGATTTTTAAGTCTCATGACTAGTAACTCGCAAGGTTTGATCAAACAAGCGTCCCCACTTCCCTTAAAAATACTGTGTGTGAATAATTCTTAGTAACAGATATATACAAGTATTGAGATTGTCACTTCCACGTTATGCTTGGTTTTTTTTTCTTTTCCTGTTACAGGTAGTGTTGTTCTTGCCGGAATTGTTAAGTATGATTTTTGGCTGCATTGTTTTTTAAGATACGGAAAACAAGTCGAACCATTCTTGTATATTTCATATCATTGCACGTACTCTGTTGATCTGTAATTTCTCTTTTTTTGTTTGTCACACAGCATTATGTTTCAAATTACTAGGCCAGTGCTATTGTTAATTACAAGATGTAGCTTCAATGTATGTATTATTTTTTAAAAGTGGACATGTCTGTTAAAATGACATTTATGTTCATTCATTTTAATTGCTTTGCTATCTCAGGATATGGTAGCAGGCTTACGTAGAACCCTTTAAAAGGACATAGAATACGCAGTAAGCACACAAATTAAGGAAAGCAGAAGGATATTCATGGTATAATGTATAATCACTAGTAATGTGTATACTTTTTCAGTCTCTTACACCGGAAGTGATCTCAGAGAGCCTGTATTGTTATTATGATAACGGCCATTTTGATGACAATTGTTGAAAATTTATGTATCATCATGTAACTCGTTGGAAATAAATGTTGGATATGATTTTTGATGTCAGTATTATACTTTATTTGCCATGCTGTTGTGGGTGTGCATCAATCAATCAAATGGAAACGAAACTCTTTAGGTTCATATGAATCCCAATGTATCCATGTTGACGATTTTTTGGTGGAAATCTAATACCAGTAGGTCCAGTGTTCAATTCCGGGCAAGGGACTGTTAAATCAGTTTTACCTCACTGTCACATCTCCTCAAGCACACAAAATAAATAATATCAAAATCAAACGATCTTCTGAACTAAAAATTATAAAATTTCATATTCTGCTAGAATTGAAGACACCTAGTATAATAAACGCTTGGGAGCCAGCATCTTTAAGTTTCTGTCATCAAATTTCGATTTAACTGTGATAATGAGAAAGGGCGAAGATAACGAATAGTGATCGATCTCGGAAAAAAAAATCTATAAACAATACAATAATTATCTATAACCAATACAAATCTGTAAACAGCACATAAAACACGGACCCCTGGAAATTCCAGGATCATGTGCCTCGGAGGAGTAAACATCCCCTGTTTACCGGTCACACCCGCTGTGAGTCCTATGTATTGACAACAATCTTTTGTCGAATTCAGTATCAAAACAAAGGCTTAACAATTTGTATGAATCACGTCAGCCAAATTACGACCCAGTGATAGGTTGTATTTGCTAACAAGGCCATTATAACGACCATAGAATTTATCAAATGCTGACTTTAAACGAGGTCGTTGAAATCTCTGTAACATCAACATTTCTGTCAGTACCCTCCCTCGGTTCAAACATTGATCGTACTCGGAGCATGCTCTTGAGTATCGAATAAGTTGGGAGATGTAAACACCAGAAGCAGGTGATGGGGGATATTACTGCATAAATAAGAAAAGTTCATCGTCGCAAAGCACAACCAAAATGAACGATTCTCTCCCACACTAGAGAGAGAGAGAGAGAGCAATATGAACGTGACTAAAAATGTAACTACATGTAGTCTTTTGTTGTTGTTTTCAGCTGTTAAAAACCTCGCAGTCGGACACTTGTATACTTTTAATGCACATTGCAGGTGAAGGTTAAGTCTGAGATTAAAGCTTTAATAAAGTTAAAAAATTATAAAGTCATTGAATTTTCTTAAAACACCAAAATATATGAAACCCATAGGTAAATTGTCCTCAATAAGAAAATATTTCCATATTTCTGTATCATTTCAATTATTCTATTTAACATTTTTAAAATTCAATTTGAATTAAACATTTTCTCCCAAAAGATCTCATCCTTTCAAGCCTCAGTCATATAGCTCTCTCCAGAATGGGAGAGGATCCTACATTATGGTTGTGTTTTTCTATAATGAAGAGATCTTAACCCCATTTATTTGATAATGAAATAAAATTTTCATATTACGTGCTTGAAAAGACCTACACATTTTAAGCATTTGTTAAATAAAGCTCAAGATATTCAGAATTTTTACTTTGTTCTCAGTTTAAGATCCTGAGACCTTGAACCGTTTTCAAAATTTTTACCTCGATTTAAGAAATTAATCAAGCTCAAAAATGGTGGTGTGGTGCATCATATCTTATTCTCATCTTTCAATGTTAAAAATGATTGATTCTTTATGTCAACTGGTTCTCAAGTGATGACCTTGCCAACTTTTGGATGAAGAAGAATGACCTTAATCTAAAAAATAGGTTATGGCCTAAACTTATGATTTGGGAACTTTCTATACATGGATCATACTTCAACAAACTTTTTCAATGTTGCCATAGAAACAAAAATTGAGGAATTTTATTCTTAATATGAAATTCTGAAATTTTGCAAAATTTTAAAATACACTGAATAGTATTTGCTTATTCTGTTTTCCACACCATTATAATACAGTTTGGTTATAGTTTGGGTGACATGCTATTGCTGGAAATATCAGTTTCTATTTCCAAGTTTTAATTACGATCAGTGCCTTCAAATACTGATAGGTGGCTACAATCTGCAAGCTTCGGCAAATTCTGCAACCTCGGAAAAATACATACAAAAGATAAACAGTGAACTACTGGTTAAATCTTGTTTCATTTTTAAAACAATATCTTGAATCCCTTATGTATGCAGCAATACAATTAGTTCTGAGGTCTATATCGTACATTTCAATACAATACGAAAGCGTATGAGGGCCGCAGCAGTATTTCTTATTTAATTGTAATAACAAATTTTCAATTTGTTATGACAAATTTTCATTTTTTTTAATTTTTGGACAAAATTTGAAGGCATATACAGATGTTTTTAAATATTTTGTTCACGGTCAGGCGTCAATGTTGTAGAGAGAGTGTTTCAAAATAGTTGACAAATTTTTTAGCCGTATACAGATGTTTTTAACATATATATAGATTTTACTGTCAAATATCGATTTAATAAGGGTATAGTGTATCGTTGCCTTTTTTTTGGGGGGGGGGGGGGTTGAAGACGTGTACAGATGTTTTCAACATTTAGTTTCAGTGTCAAACGTCAATGTTATAGAGGTAGAATGTATCAGATTCCTTGGTTTTCTTGTTGTTATTCTCAAGAGCTCAAAGAGGACTTAAACTATGTGTTTTCTCCACCAGGATTTCGTCCTGACCCCCACCGAGTAATAGCGCCCCCTAATGCAAAATCTTACATCCGAGTCTCGGGCGAACCCCTGGGCCTCCTTTTCCCGCTTTCTTTTTTTTTCTTTTTTTTGTAAGAATTCGAAAGCAGACAATAAAGGCAACTTTGACAGATAAATCATTACAGAAGAAAATTATAGGACACACCTCTGAAACTGAAAATTAACAAAATTCTTGAGTGGGAAGTACTCGGTGTTATTTGGAGTTGGTAATTGGAAAATCCCTCAAAGGATCCACAATAGCTTTGTTTAAACTATGAAATGTCTGGTTTTGTTTGTTAGTACGGGAATTAATGTTGCAACTTTTTTAGAAAAAAAATTATATAACCCTCAAACGCGGGTTATGCAATTTTTTCGGTAAAGCAGCAACCGTTAGTTCCCATACTAACAAACAAAGAAAGTCATTTTTTTTGTTTATATGTGTGTCTGTGTTAAGGTGAAAATAATGAACAGTGATCGATCTAAAAAAAAATCTACAAACAATACAAATATTTAAACAGGGTCTACAACATGGACCCCCTAAATTCCCCTTAAATTTCATAGGTGGGATCAGGTGCCCAGGAGGAATAAGTATCCCCTATCAAAATCTCACATCCGCCGTAAGCCCTATGTATTAATCAGGTGGACGGGGAACATTTCGTAGGCAGGATTAGTATAAAAACAAAGACCTAACAATTGATACCAGTCAACCCCCCCCCCTCCAAACAATGACCGAATGATAGGTTATAATTGCTAAAAGGTCATAATAACGAGCTTAGAAATTTACGAAATTTTAACTTCAAACGAGGTAGTTGAAAGCCCTGTAGCATCAACTCATCTGTCAGTACCGGTTTCGGTTTAAAAATTGATCGAAATCAAAGCCTGCTCTTGAGTATTGAAGAAGTTAGGATACAGAAACACTATATGTGGTTTATAACGGAATATTACTACTCAAATAAGGAAAGTTGAAGTCATCTCCTTTGTATACAGTTTTATTAGTTGTTACTTGGCCCTTATCATTTATAATCAGTAAAACATCCTACGGTGTCTTGCGTTTAGAGTTCACTGGGATATATCGAGTCGACATATGAATGGAAATAAATATTGATAATTAATTGCTAAAATGTCGTCGATATTATAATATCTAAATGTCGAGTTGAAGGCCACAGCAAGTGTTATCCGCGTATCATGTAGAAGTTTCTGAATAAATTCTGCTTCAAAGGAATATAAAAACAGGTCAGCTAAAAAAGGAGGACAATTAGTACCCATTGTAATTATTCCGACATTTTTTTTTGAAAGATCTGGTCTTCGAAGACTATATATAGATGTTGTCAATGAGGAACTCCAACATTCTTTAGAGCACTTGTGTGTTGAACCAGAGTGAATTTTAACAAAATTATTTTTTTTGATGACCAATCCAAGATATGACAATATCTGAGTTCCATTTTTACGAAAGAAGCAGTTGTCTATGATGTCAAAATGCCTTGTTTTTAGTTTACCGTGAGGAACTGTTGCATAAGAAAATGTAGAAAAGTCAATGTGAATGACTTTCGAAATATTTGTGATTTCCGGTAGAAGTCGTAATATCAGTATCATTGATAAGTATACTAGACTATATTGTTGAATTTCATTGTTTAATCACAACTCATCTATCATATGGATTATGAATATTTTGTTTTGGAATAGCAAAATACAGTCTTGAGTTGCACACTAAATACTTTGTTCGGAGAGGAACTCTTAATAACCTTCCGGCAAGGCTTTATTTATACTTAAAATACTTAAAGCGATTGTTGTCTCTTCCTATTAAAAGTTTGTCTGATGAGATTAGATTTGGTTTTGACAATGTATTCAGTATATGACTGAGATAATTCCAACTTCTTTACGCGAATTGAATTTTGAACCAGAATAAATGAGCATAACATATACATATTTCATTAATGTGAAGCTTGATATCTTTTGACAGGGTTTCCATGTTTAATTTTCCTTAACATGTTTATATTGCTTAATATAATTTTGAGTTAAACCGTGCAGTATTAACTACTGCCCAAGGAATTTGAATTACAATAAAACCCAGACCCTTCAGCATTGCGATAAAGTGGTTATATAGAAGAGCGATTGCAAAAAGTAATTTACTTTCAAAAGTTCTGATCAATTTCTTTTCAACCTCGGGTAATAGGCTTTTCGTTTGCTTTCCTTTTCTACAATAAAATAGCTCTTAAAATGATGCTTTTAATACGCTGTTTCCTCAGTCTTTGATCGAACTCGTTTTGCATTGCTAATACTCGTATTTTTCAGTGTTCAATTCGGGCTCAAATTTCCTGAAATTATGAAACAACTTTCCTGAAACAGGAACCAACCACGGAGTAACTTCCGGAAACGTCAAAGACAGCACCGAATTACCCGGAAGTCGGC